TACCGGGTGAGGCGTATCTCTGGAAACAGCACCTCGCGCACTATGTTGGCTGATGGAATACCAAGACACATAAAAGACTTACGTCCCTGTGTAGGTTCGGACACTTCGGCAAGTGACACTAGCAGTGAGTGCTCAGGAAGTGAAAGGATAATCATCATTTGAGGTGAGGGCTAGTACCCCCTTTTCAGATGGATGAAAACTGTGCCGTGAGGTTGTTAGACCAGAAGACTCCACAGGAGATGCGACTTCTGAGCATACCATACAAAAACTTCCTGTAATCACCCCCGCATTGGAGAAGCTCGACAATAAAGATGCCTACCCCTGGGTGTCACCTATGTGACAGGGGCGGGGGTGACGAAAGGGAAAAACACCTACCTTGAAAAATAGTTCGTGTTTTGTGCGTGGTCTGCAGAAAGGAAATTTAAAGAAAATAGCAAAAACCTGCTACTTCAAGTATCAGAGAAACTATGTTTATTTCTTTCCTTCCTGAATGGTGTGACCAATCAGAAAAAATCGCTCGGTGAATAAACGCCGTTGTTTTTGTTGCTTATCGATAGAATGTTTGAGTTTGGTGGACGAAATTGCGTTTCTGTTAATGCGAAGTGAAGGATGGATTTCTGACCCTGGTTTTCATTCCTACTTGCCTGCTGGACAACAGATTTTCGATTAAACTTTGTGTTGTTTTGCTTTTACTAATCCCATTGGTTGATGTCTAAAAAGCTGTGTTCAATTGGCTACAAGTGTCACGGACGAGAGAGACAGAAGAAACAGATTATAGGCATTAATTGCTACAATAACTTTTTTTTTACTACAGGTACCAGCAATATATTTTTGAAAAAAATATTACCAGAAATAAAATTCTTGTCAACATTACATAACCCATTGATGGTGATATGCCGTAAAAATACAAAACAAGTCAAATCGAATTTGTTGGTGAGGATCTCAGGCTCAACACAGAGGCCTACACCATGTGTCTTGAGGAAGTAGTGCTACTCTGGGTGGTTTCTGGAAGACACTATGTCTGGAAACAGGACTCTTCACCATACCCCACAAGCAGGAGAACCAATCCCCACTTACATCTGGCCACCTAACTCACCAGACTGCAAGCCACTTGATTATTACGTGTGGAGCACAGTTGAGCGAGTGACCAACAAAACTCCTTGTAACACCAAAGATGAAAAGGTAAGCATTACGGCAGCGTTCGTCAACTTAAACAAGAAAATCGTCCAGAAGAGTTGCAGGAGATTCTGAAGACGTCTGAAGGCCGTGGTTGTGTAGTGAGCTCGATTCTTATTGAATGCTCCAAACCGGTGAACATGAGCCAACATAAAAATACCTGGGCAACTCAGCATGTGGTGATTCATTTTCTGACACCATTTTCTTTTCTTTCTGTAACAAACAATTCTTGTTCTTTTATGTGCTGTGTCCTTTCGGTATGTGAGTAATCACAGCTCTCCACAACTTTCTATCATTCGTAGCTTTATGTAATCTTTTTCTTTACTATCTCATCATTCATTTACACAAACTCGTGAGGTTGGTTACTTGATGTTTCCCTGTGATCCCTTTACCCTCAGTATGTCTCGTAAGTGTCAAATTCTCCAAGCCCTCTCTCCTACAAATTTCAAATGTCTTTCTGATTCTAATCACCAGTTTTATTTCTGTTTCAATTTTGTTTAAAACGTCCTTGTTGATCACATCCATAGTATTTACCACATCCTTCAGTAGAACCACCTCTCTCTTGCTTTAAATCTACTCTTCATGTGTGAGGAAATTGTCCAGTATTCATTGCCATATTGAAGGATTGATATTCTATTGAAATTCATCACTTTATTCTTTGTTTCTAACGAAATTTTCCTGTTTCATAATACTTCGTTTGGCTTTTGGAAGGCATTATTCACTATTCAAAACTAGACTACAACTTTCCTCTTTCTTTCTACTTTCCTTAAAACTTCCCCGTTGCTCAGATGTTTCGACCATAGTATTATTCTGCTTTCTTCTGTAGAACATCTTCGCCCTTGAGAAAATTTCCCACCATTCATTGCTATTTCTACGCGTTGGTAATCATAAAATTTACAATGTCTATATTTACGACTTGAAGAAAAAGAACTTAGTACAAGAATTGCTAAGACGCCTGTTTAAGAGGAAAAAGTGTCTTTTCCGATTGTGACATCTAGTTATTTGAGTGGAGAGTACTTGGTGACCATGGGCGTAATCAGAGTCTGCTTTGGGGCTTGGGTGGTAACGAACAGGAGTTGGGCAGTGAGGTTAGGGGAGACGTGCCCCTCCTAAGATCTCAGCTACACTTGATACCAAGAGGTTTTTTTTTCCAGCGATCAAATGACCAACTCATTACTCGATACATCAATTTCGCCCGTTTAGTTATCACACATGTTTTGTATAATATGGTCACTGTTCAGTTAATATCTATCTACTATCCATCTAGGGTATAGCAATTCATATCACAACTCATACTTACTTTACAATCCACAATGCGTCTCAACATGGCCTGTTTGCATCCAACTTTCAGCTTTCGTGCAAACGGTGTGTCGATTTTGCATCGTCACTACTAAAGTCCGCTATTACTAGATGAATATATTGTGTATGTATTTGCATTATTACGGAAATTAATATTACCTAATTTAGTAAAACAGGGAACACAATTTTTACGCAGAGGCGGTGTCAGCTGCTTTATTTTTGGTATTTTGTTCTCCTATACAGCAGTGAATGCTGGATAATCACCTCAAAGATGAAGAAGAGCCCTGAAGCAACAGAGCTGTGGTTCGATAGAACGAGGCTGAGACTACGATAGACAGAACATGAAAGCAACGATGAGGTTTTAGAGAAAATGGAAACTGTTGTAAGGGTTTTACTGAATGAAGAATAACCAAAAACAAAAACGGAGGTTGGAAATGAAAAGGTAATCTTTATAACCTCAACAAAATAAAATACTCGCCAGCGGCGTGAAGTAGGTAAACCACTGCTAGTGGTGGACTACTTAGACACCATATTACCCCCACTTGCAATAGTGTCCAACGTATTTAGGAGGATTGGGACATACCCATTAGTGTTCATAGGTACGGAAACAAAAAAGAAATTTATACTTAAAGTAAATAAGAGGTAGTTGAAATTTCTGGGGTACATTATGAGGTAGGGGGGCTGGGAAAATCTGATACTCACAGGACAAATTGCGGGAAAGAGGGACATAGGAAAACAGCGGGCTTTTGTAAAGGGGCTTGTGTAAATCGATGATAAAACAATGTTTAGGAGAAATAGCAAAAAGACAAAATTTATTAAGAACTACAAAGGATAGAAAGTTGTGGAAAGCCATGATCGCCTACGTGCTGAGGGTACAGGGAGCATAAAGAAAAAGTAGTCGTAATGGACTACTGCGACTTTACCTATATGGTGTACATATAAAATGTAACTGTCAGTCTGTATTACGTAGCTGGGGTTTGTGTTTGTGAAGATATCAAGGAAGAAATTACATCACAGGTAGAAATCTATCTACTGGTTATCATCGATACTGGAAAAAACAAAACAAAAAATCAAAACAAGAACAAACAAAAACAAAACAAAAAACAAGAACGAAATAAAAAGCAAGAACAAGACAAAAAACAAAACAAAACAAAACAAAGAACAAAACAAAAATAAAACAAAACAAAAAACAAGAAGAAAACAAAAAACAAGAAGAAAACAAAAAACAAGAAGAAAACAAAAAAGAAAAAAGAAAAAATAAAAACAAAAAAGAAAAAAACAAAAAAAAAAGAAAAAAACAAAAAAAGCAAAAACAAAACAAAAAAGCAAAAATAAAACAAAAAATAAAACAAAACAAAAATAAAAAAAAACAAAAATAAAACAAAATAAAAAAAAACAAAAACAACAAAGCAAAAAATAAAACAAAAATAAAACAAAACAAAAAACAAGAAGAAAACAAAAATAAAACAAAAATAAAACAAAACAAAAAACAAGGGAGAAAACAAAAATAAAACAATATATTGTCTGGTTCTCAATCCTTCCCGACCTGAATTGATGTTTATCCATTGTTTCCTGTTTAAAACTGAATTTTCGGTTCTTTCTAGTTTCTACATCAACTCTGTACTTATGACGTCTCTGACAATTTTATTTACTAATTATTTATTTCCTTTTTTCTCTCTCCTTCTCCTCAATAGGAATGATTAGGTTCACTCATCGTCCGGTTCAACTCCTCCTCTACCTTTTGAACAGGAGTAAATTTCTATCCCATGTTCCCTGTTTAGGAATTTGTGAATGGAACCCAAGCATAAACACGATATTCCTTCATATTTCGTAACACGGCTTATACACATACACTGAAGGTAGTTTTATATAAATAATATATACCCTAAAAGTAGTTTTATATAAAATTTAATAAATTTTGTGTATTTACAGATTCAAGTACACTAATCATGTAATGCTTATACGGATTTTAAAGTGAGAAAATTAAGATTTGCGTCCTGGGTAAGACGTTAAACTACATCCGCGTCCTGGGTAAGACGTTAAACTACGACCAGCAGCAAGGCCTCTGATCAGGAGGTTTTGAGGAGTGTGGAACAAATTCTTAATTGCTAATGTTCCCAGGTCTACCGTGACCCGGGGTTGTAGCACCTATTAGGGTCCCAGCTATGGGCAAATAGTTACCAGCAATACTTTTTTGAAAAAAATTATTACCAGCAATACAATTTTGAAGGAAATATATTACCAGAAACATATTTTTGACAAAACAAAATATTACCAGCAAGAAAATTTTTGTCAGCATTAAATAACCCATTGAGGTTGATATGCCGTAAAACAAAATAAACCAAACCAATCTAAACCAAAGAATACATACTCTATCTAATCATTTACTGATTAACCCATAACTAGAGGGGAGAAGTGGATTCATGCCTTTCCCAAGGGGGTCTGCATGTAAATGAATATAAAGAACCCGACCAGAAATGGAACTCGGCTCTCCGATTTCCATTACACCATTCGCACATTCAACCCTACAGCACCTGATATTCCCAAGCGGTCACCCATCTAGGTACTGACCAGGCTCGACGTTGCTTGACTTCGGTGATCGTACGAGAATCAGTGTTTCAACATGATTTAGTTGTCGGCCGCTTTTGTGTTGTAAATGATTTTTTTTAGGGAAGTCCACTAAGTGTTATCTCTCTTTCTACTACTGATGTATATTTCCTTCCTAACCTTTTGTCTTAGATAGTGTGCAACTTCAACGTTTTTATTTTGTCATTATTCTCCTGTCGTCTTACATGTAATATTCATTTTATTTGTTACCGTTCTTGGAAGTCTTAAAGAGATGTGTTTTTTTTTCTTAATTTGGTAAAATCTATGAGATTTGATGAATTACCACGATCACAAATCCTGTAATTCGTAAGGGCACAACACCTACTGCAGCCACAGTAGCAGGGGTGTTTCTAGGTTAACGGACGGCGCAAATGGTGAGAGGAAAGAAAAGCTGCTATTTGAAAACATTATTGTTGTTTTCGAAACTGAAAGAGGTTACAAAAAGACAAGATTTTTCAACTGATACCAAACCTGAATAACACACACACACACACACACACACACACACACACACACAAATAGATTCATGAACCAAGTCTATAGGCTTAAAGCGTTGGTTTTGTTGTTTATTTTTAATTACCCCTTAGTTCCACTATTTCTAACTTTCACGGCTAAGAACCGCCGTGCCACGCCCATTCCATTGGTGAGATATAAGTTCCACTCGAACAGCTTCTTCCCATGAACCAACTCCGAAGAGGTTGTTTGAAAAGTCAACATTTTCATTTTGTCATTATTTCCTTTTTGTATTACCTGTGCTATCCATTTTATTTGTTACTGCTGTTGGAAGTTTTCATGTGATTTCTTTTTTTCCTAATTTAGTAAAGTGTATGCGATCAGATGAAGTTCATCTTTAAGATCTACAGGTTTTATTTGTTTGTGATTCTGTAGCGCCAGTCTATAAGATCTGATGAAAAATGGTGCTCTCTAAGACCTACAAGTTTCATTCACTTGAAACCATTTTTAATTTTTCATCTAACAAAACGGTTGTATATAGCTGAGACTTTAGACATTTCTGGACTAGCAGGATGTCATGTATGACATCCGCATGAGAGTCTTAATCTAACAAGGCGATTTAAGTACAAGATTCGAGTTTGTAGGTTGACGTTCTTGTTTTGTGTTGTCATGCGGTGATTGACAGAAGTACCTCGAGGGCTGTTTGGTCTATGGTCTTAAAGAGACAACTGTAGTCTAAAAATTCAAGAAGAGTTACAACTGAACAGAAATACTTTGAAATAGATAATTATGTTTCAAATTGATGGTGGTTATCTTGAAGAAACCCAAGGGGTCTTAGAGGAAAAATAAAGACTATAAAAAAGTTCTAGAATCTTCACGCATAAGATCTGTCAAGCCAGGAACATTGTAGCGAACCAACCTTATTTCCCTTCGTATTCCATTGGTGAGATGGAAGTTCCACTCGAGCAGGTTCTTCACACGAACAACTCCCTACTCCCAAGAAGGTACTTTCCCGATCACTACAATCTTAACCTGCTCAAGTCATTGTTAACCGTTATTTTCCCCACATATCCTTATAAGTTGTGTCTGTTACTCTGTAAGACTCTATCTCGAGTGGCACTTGGGCCTTAGTACACGGTGAACATCATTGTAAAAAAAAATCCATTTGTTAGAAGTAAATCTGCAAAAACTATTCCTTGTTTCGTGCACAAAAGCGGGATGTTTTTAGAACACAACATGAGAAATGTAACCTAAATATGATGACAAATTATTTCCCCCTACAATCCATTTCACAGAGATGAGACATCGCATGCCTTTCGTCATTTCCATGGACAGTGTTCAGATGTCAGACGTCCTCAGATGTACCCCCACCCTAGTGGTTGATCCCCGATCCCTGCAATTTTAACCTGTTCAAGTCTAGGGTTAACCGTTATTTTCCACACACATCCTCACAAATTGTACCTCTTACTCTGTAACCCTCTACTTCGAGTGGTTCTCTTGCCTTGCAAAAAATAAAACAACTTTTTCTAAGATTAACGTGTCATATAATGTTTCAAAATTAACTTATTAAGAACAGGAATAAATATCCCGGTTTATGTTAATCGTAGGGGATTGGTAGGTCATAGAACTTTTCAGACATCTTCATCTCACTCTCTCTTTTTCTCTCTCACTCTCTCTCTCTCTATATATGTGCGTGTTTGTGTGTGTGCGTGCGCACGGGCGCTCGTGAGACACTGGGTGGAATATGCGTGTTGGACTGAAGAACATGGAATTAGCCTACAGACTAATCAAGAATGTGATCAGATTTCTTATGAGGGTGGGGGAATCGATGACGTCACGGGCTCGTCAGAAGGGTCAGATGAATGAAAAGATACTGCAATGCAAGTGAATGAAGTCTGTGAAAAGTGCTCACCACACATATTCCATTTTCTACTTCTTCCGCTTGCACCCGAAATCATGCCGCTCTCCTGCAGTTCGAGAGGCAGAAACGGCGTAGGGTGTGTCATCGGCGACTTCCCCGGTCTGAAGTCTCCCCCAGAGGCCGTCTGAATTTCACAGGGGCCGCCGGCCACTTCAAATACCGGTAGCGATATTTTCATAATTAAGACGATTGCATTCGAATTAGAGGTCGGCTCACACGGCGCTTATTTTGTGCTTTGCCACTTTGGGGGCGGCGGAGGGTCGAGTAGTGATGAAGAGGATGCAAGGGAAGAGGTTGGATAGATAGATAGATAGACAGACAGAAAATAGACTGAGAGAGATAGATAGAAAGAAAGGAAGAAACAGACTGAGATAGATAGATATCAGCAGACTGATACACACACACTCATATATATATATATATATATATATATATATATATATATATATAATATAATGAAGAAAATGAGATAGATACAAGGTGCGATGGATAAATTGTCTTCTAAATGACGCAAAAATCAAAATCAAACTGACATCTCATTTTAACAGATATATTTACCAAAATTATCTTGAAATACTAAAGCGTAAATTTATTCAAGGAAATCGCCATTGGCTTCAACCACGGCTTCCAGACGACTTCGGAATCTTCTGCAACTTTTTGGGACGGTCTCCTTATTTAAGTTGCTATAATCCTTGCCTTCAGTTCATCTTTGGTGTGGCAAGGAGTTTTGTTGGTCTCTCGCTCACACATAATTACGAAGGGGGGTTGAAATCTGGGGAGTTAGGTGGCCAGATGTAAGGGGTGATGTGGCCACAGAAATTGTCTGACTGCTATGATTGGGTTTCCCTGCTTGTGTAGCATGGTGCAGAGTCCTGTTGCCAGACATAGGGCCTTCCAGCAGCCACTCTCTTGACCCAGGGTACCACTACCTCCTCAAGGCACATGGTTTAGGCCTCCGTGTTTAGTCTGAGGCCCTGTGTGAAGATGAATAGAGGCATAACGTCGCCATCACTAGTGATCACTCCAAACACCTTCGTAATCACCTTTAGACTCATCCGATTCCTTTTCACTCTCCTCAGATTGACACCGTAACACTCTGGGATGTTCGTATTGGGGTTTCCGGTGCGGCTGCCAAGCAGTACAGCATGCTGTTTCTAAATTTCTGGCGGAGTGAATTGCGTCATGGTGCTCTTTTTTTTCCCCCTCATAGACGGTATTCAACTAACACTACTATACTGTACAGATGATAAAATATAAAATGGTGACAATTTACCCATCGCACCCTGTATATACAGAGAGATAGCTAGATAGAAATGCACAGTCATTTGATAGGTAGCCATACATACTTACAGATAGATACAACCTTGTTTAATATTGATGGTTATGAACAGAAATATCGATATTTATAAATAGACAAATAGTTTTGATATATAAATAAATAGAGATGAACGAACTGCAAAATAATAGGTAGAATGTGTAAGAGAAAGAGAGAGAGAGAGGGGGGAAAGAGAGAGGTAGATGTAATGAGAGATTGATAGGCAGTCGGGGAGGAATACGAAAAGGGACATAGAAAAGAGAAAGGAAAATGAGTGGTGTATGTATAAAGAGAAATAGCTTCATAGGAGGTGGTCGAGTTTAAAAGTATCGCGGAGAAAATGAACACGTTAATGGTTGCAAAGGCAGACGTAATATAATAAGGAAAAAAAACAGAAGGGAAAGTTAACGTTACAAAGGAACGCTAACAAGAGAGAGAGAGAGAGAGAGAGAGAGAGAGAGAGAAAGGGAGAAAAAGAGAAAGTATAAGAGAAAGAACGAAGGAGCGAGAGAGAGAGAAAATGACAGAGAAATAGAGAGTGAGAGAGAGAAAGAATAAAAGAGAATGTGAGAAAGAGAGTGAGAATATGAGAGAGTGATTAAGAGAGAAAGAGAAAGAGAGAGATTGAGAAAGAGAGTGAGGTTGGGGTGGTGGAAAGAGACATAATTAAATAATTACCATGGAATGCCATGAGGGAAAATGAAAAATATAATTACACAGAAAGGAGGCGAAGAATTATTTATGGGTGAATACCGATGCATAAGAGAAAAAGAGACGATGAGATTTGGAGAGTAACGCAATGAAGAAGATGACGAGAAAGACACGTGGGCGCATGCGCCGGTGGGAGAGCGGACATAAAAAGGATTTACAACTCTGCACTTATAAGATTGGGAAAAGTATGTATTTCCTTTTCTCGGCACTAGACATCTTAGGAGAAAAATGGTCTCGTCACTGGCATGACATACAGATTAAATAAGTGAACACAGGTCAGAGATTTTTTTCTTTGTTAGAAGTACCATTCTATCAAATGATACGTTTCTGTTAATCGAGAAAAGATCTCCTACAAATTAATTAACTTATCCTTTACATTCCATGAAGGATCTATCTACTTACAACAAATGCCATATTCTTGCAAAAAAAAAAAAAAAAAAATAATAATAAAATAAAACAAAATTTTCTAATTGCTCAGTTTGAATAACTCAATGGAGAACACAATTCGTTGCTGATGGTAAGGACAAAAAGGATGTTCAGTCTTTTCGTGTGAACGTGATGATAATTATTTTTTTTTACTAAGGTTCACCCGATACAAGACCCAAGAGCAACTCAA